GTGGTAACATAGAGCTTGATGGAGAACACTATAGTTAATCTGGCTTAACAGGTTTGGACAATTAATAAATCCATGTATGATCTTTTATATACATATAGCTCCTGACATATCACAACAGTTCTTGAGTGAGGGTAAAGATAATTGTTGGTCAATATAGGAATAATCATGATTTTCAATAGTAGTGTGGACATGGTAATCACAATATCTCAAAAATTTATACTCGACTCTTTCTATGGTATCAATATTGTTATATTGAAAATAGGGTGACCAAATAACTGAACAGTGTTCCAAAATTGTTCTAACTAAGCAACAATACACTAATCTTGTTGAATTAATCGCGAAATACTTGCAATTCCTAGTAATAAAAGAAAGAAGTTTAGATGCCTTTCTTGAAATAGAACTTATGTCGTCACAGAAAGTAAGCTTCTCATTGAAAATAATACACAAATCCTGAATAGAAGAAACATAATTCAGTGGCTGATTATTAATAGTATGGCTTGTTCAAATTCTATTGAATTTATGAGCAAAACTTATAAAACAATATTTTTTTACATTCAAATGGCGTTTGTTCTGATTGCACCAATTTTGTAGTTGATCTAAGTCATCTTGTAGCAAGGATTGATCTTTTAAGCTATCTTTAATTTTCAAGTCATCTGCCAACATTAGACATTTACTATTTAGGAAACAGGAAGTGATGTTGTTAACGAAGATATTAAAAAGAAGTGGAGAAGTGTGGCCTCCTTGAGGAAGTCCATATATTACTGTGATACTGTCAGGCAGATGACAACCTATCTTGACTCTTTGGCTTCTCCAAGATGTAGAGTATTTAATCCATTCAACCAACCTGACATGAAAGCCTACATTAATTAATTTGCCCAAAGTATTTGGTGATCTACATGATTAAATGTTTTAGAAAAATCTGTGTATATTGCATCTGCCTGTTTACAGTCTTCCATATGAGATAATATATCAGATTGATAGCAAATGTTGCAAAAGTTGCTTTGCTATAAGACTGTCGAAGAGCTTACTGATTGCAGATTGTATAAAAATGCTACAATAATTTTCAATATTGTCTTTCTGACCATTTTTAAATATAGGAGCATCATTTTTGATGATGTTGTTCCTATATTTAAAATCTTGTTGTTCCTACATTTTTTTACTGTTATTGTGTTTTCTTTTACTTACCTGATTATATTGAATATCACAGATCGATTCAATAAATTAACTCAACTAAAGAATAAATAAAAGACAAAGTTGTTTTGATACAATAATTTTAACTTGTTTATTATTACTTTTATCCTATTTTATACTATTATCAACTAGAATTTATTTGTAACAGCTTATATAATCTTAAATTAGTATTTCTACAAGGAGTAATTTTGTCATTAATATCTATACTAGGTATACTATAATAGTTTGGAATATTTCTAGGTTGAACGAAATGAGCAAGAAGTAGTTCTTTGTCCTTTTGTGGTAGTGGATTTCTAGAAGCTGCAAATGGTTGAGTTCGAGGTTTATCACATCTTAATGGCATTAGGTTTTTGTATAATGGTTGGTCATATGGAAAGTTAACTCTTTTTACCTGCAAAATGAAAGTTATTACATATTTAGAACATTAAATTGCCCCAAACAAAACAAATGTGTATGTTAAAATAAGTGACCTATTTCAACATGGTTACTTATTAATTTTTCAAAATTATTATTAGTAACTAAAACTTATTTTCTATAAAGTCTGAGAAGAGAGATATACATACAGCAAGGACATATACAGTCAACAGAGAATATACAATAATGAAAGCTATGTGTATGTGAAAGTACTGCAGAAAATAAGCAGGAATCAGCTGATAGTCATAGCAGGCTTCCTTACTAGACACCTGCTTTTAATGGGCTTATTTGATGGAGACATGCTGCAGACTTATTTACAGAGAACCTAAAATAGTCAACCATATCTTGCATGTCTACAAGGCACTAGATCTCAGGAGGATTTGAATACTACCAAGTAATTCCAAATAGTTGAGAGAATAGTCAAATTAAGTGTTTATGTATATCAGGAGATTGTATTTGTAAAACTAGGCTAGATATGAATGTTCAACATCTTGTCTTTAATCCAATTTTTTGTGAAAAAGATGATTATTTTAAAAAAGAAATGATTTTTTAAAAACAGGGTATTTTATATAAAATCTACTGATAATTTTATACAAAATCTAGAAGCAAAAATATACAGAAACAAAGGAGATGATGCCTTTCAGTTTCGCTGGATGTGATAAGGAGCTCTAAATATTGTAGAAAAGTAGATCAGCCAAGTAAGATATTCTCTATATTATTTTGCTCCAGTATGTATTTTGAAAGAAATTTATCTTTTGTATTGGTATAAATATCGTTAAAAGCCTCAAATGCATCTAAAATTGACATGAAATATAAATAACTTTGGATCTGTACAAACCTTTTCATCAATAACTAAATTTTTATAATCAGCATCCGAACAACTTTTAGTTTTCCGATATTTAGTAATGGAATCGATTTTTTTGAACAGATTCAGAGTGGTGTAATGCTCAGGAAATTCAAATGATTCAATCTTCTTTATTGGTTCAGGAACTTGGACCGATTTGCTTTCTGAGGGCTCACTTCGACCTGGTGTGATATTGTTTTTGATATCTTTAGTTACTGGTTTGGGTCTCTCAGTGTTTCTTACAAGAGTTTTTTTAACAATTTGATTGGAATTTTTTGATGCTGCAGAGTTACAACTTACTCTTTGCATTCTCTGGTTAACATTTTTGGACATATTTTTGTCTTTAGGTTTACTCATATTTGCGTTAATTTATCAATAACAAAAATAACTATTATACCTTTATACTTAAAGATTGTCGGTTTAGAATTCAAATAAAAACAAACAACTGTCAAAGTGGGCCACTATCAGATGCCGCCTTTGAAGTTAAGAAATCGTGAGATTTCGCTACAGTGAATTTGAAGGAAATGGGAGTTTTTAAATGATAATAATTATAGAAACTATTTTAAATACTTTGTATTGTTATATATTAATTAATGTATAAGTACATATTTTAGGACAGCAGAGCCAATGTTTTAGGATGGTTAACAGTAATATGATTTATATTGATATGTAATGTAAATATTAGGTTAATTTTTAGTAATTATCGTACTTGTAGGATTTCAAAGTTATTGAAGATGAAATATAAAGTTATTGTTATATGCAATTGCTGATTTGTTTCAATCTCACACACATAAATCATTTGTCTTTATCCGTTACAAATTCGCACTGATATTAGATAAAATATACATAAACTTCAGTTGTTATGACGATATTACACTTCAAGCATAAAGAACATAAGCTTTGTTATATTATTTCGTGTATCTAATGAAGTATGCAAGCATTTTGTTAAAAATTGCGTTTATAATATTTCAGGTGAAATCTAGAGCACTTAAAATGCTGATTTTCGTTAAATTTTATTATTTATCTTAAATTTAGTACAGCTTAAAAATTTCGAAATTAAATATAAGACGTCAATCGTAGATCGTGAGATTTGTCTTAATTCTTCTTCTTCTTTCTTCTTGTCCTAGCCTAAAGGAATCAGTAGGTTCACTCTCACTGTTCACTGTTCACTCGTTCACTCTCGCATTTAAACGGTTTCAATTTTGATTTCACTCCTAGGTATGTGCTCAATATATTTGGTGAAAAATGATGCTGTTTCAAGATTTCAAATATTCCATCAGTTTCAAAGAATATTCCAAAATTATAATAAAGTAATTATTATACAAGTTCTTCAAAAAGTGGAAAATAAATTTCATAAATGGTAAAATTCTTCACATACCCACTATACACACTTCTGAAGTTTGAAAAATCATATTGCCTTATTGACTTAATCTATGAAAATAATTAATCATAAGTAATAATTTTCTTCAGATGTCTGGACATGTCAGACGAACAAACCCAAACCGATGGATAGCAAAAATAACAGAGTGGAGCCCCATAGGAAAACGCAAAAGAGGAAGACCAAGAAGATCTTTCAAAGATGAGGTAGATGAAGCCATATCAGTCAATCAGTTTTATTTGTAAAATTTAGGTTTAGGACAAACGCCTTGTAAAAATGATCAACCCTATTAGTGCTCATTTCTTTTGTTTCCATTTGCTAATTCTAGAAATATGCTTCAAATGTTCAGCAATTTTTACCATATGATACCTTTTCACATAATTGTACGTTTGCAATAATTGTTAATATATGCAATATATCTTTCGTACCTGTCAGATCTTCAACCTGTACGCCACTGTTTGCAGTAAATGCAAAAGTTGACCGTGGAATACCATCTACAGCTCATGGCGTAGCAAAATTTTAATTTTTTTTTATTTTTTAATAAAGTATGAAGAAGAAAATATATCTTTGATACCAGTTGTTGTTTTATTCTTTACATAGGTATACATTTTTAGCCGAAAATCGCAGCTCTGAGATTTTTGTCCCGTCTGATACCAGTTCTAGAAAAAATGGATACGATATTAGGGCACCTAATACAAAGGAGCTATCCTTTCATTATGATTTGCTTAATTTTTCCAAACAATATAAGTAACCATACGAAAGAAAATAATTAAAAGACAGGCAAGACTTACTGCAAACCAAAAATTGTCTGAAAAGGTATTTTCAAAAGAGATGAAGCTGATTTTAAAGAATTTAAAATGCATTTTTCTGATTGATACCTACTCGTAATGTCATTAAATGTAATACCTGTTTATATTAAACAATATTGAAGTTTCTTTTTACAGATATATTTATAAATATTGTTGTTAAATATAACATTTTGTACATTGAACTTGAAATGTTTATAAAAAACAATAATAATGAACCAGATTTGCTTTTTGCGATTTTGCAAGAAAAATGTCTACAAGGCAAATCGAAATAATCAAACAGTACGAAAATATTTTATCATCTATTTTACAGTTGTTACAATGAATGTGTGTTAAAAATATAAAAAAAATTGTCAGTACTATTAAAATGTTTCCATTTAATAACATCTTCAATTTTGCCCTATTAATATGTATTGTAAACGGTATTGGCATTGATGAAATTGAAGATGTAGGAAGTAGATATATATCAAGTGTAGTTGTGCATAGATCTCGCGCTTTTTTGGCTTTGCCTAGAAGTGTTTGTACAGATGACAAAGAGGTTCCTACATTAATAGAAACCCATTGGGATGCAGGACATGTAGATCTTTTCAGTAGATTTTCTCAGAAACTCACAAGGTAAAAAAATTCTTTTGTACATATCCTATCTATATTTATTGTATTGTTTCATATTAACAACCTTTTTACATTACATATTTGTGTTTGTGTCAATTTTAATGTATATATACCTATTGCTAATACAAAGGATTTCCGAAGTTCACTAATTCCTTCTCTCCGTTATTTCCATCTTTTTCTATCCTACAAATATATAGATCGAACATATCTTTATTCCATTGCCTTGAATCCTTCATCTCTAAACGATTTTCGACACTTATCTTTTTTTTTTTTTCAAGGAATTTGAAATTCCGTCTCTGTTGCCCTAACTTTGTTTCAATTTCTCTAATTTCTTATCCAGTTTTCAGATTTCTTCATTCTTTATTCTTAGATATTAGGTTTTGTTAATACTGATGGCGAGTCTCCAATTTTCGTATTCTTCGGTTAACTTTCGAATTATATAAATCCATGTCTTCCTCATCATTTACCGTAATCACTTGATCGTCTGCAAAGAAAAGATTTCTTTTGTACTTGTTCCTTAATCTTAGCCCTCTTGTTAGTTGGACATGTATATTTGTGCAAGTCTTTAGGAGCGTAGAATCTCTTTGTCACTTTTAACGATAAGCTCTCATGCACCATTTTCATTTAAAGTAGTCTCTCCATACATTCAATAATCTGACTGTTGCCTTTCTCCCACTCGGGTATTTACATCTCCCAAAATGAATACCACTTGTTTTTCGTAATTCTTTCTAATACTTTCAGTAGATTATCATATAATTCTTCTTTAGTTCCTATCGCAACATCTTCTTTGGGGCATAAACCCCTGTGATAGCTATATTATGGTCATTTTTCATTACCACTACCATGATAATTTGCTCGTCAACTCTTACGATCTTTTCACGTATTTTACTAATTTATTGTGAATGAGTACAGCTACACCCCGTTTGGCTCCATTACTCTTTGGTACACCGCTGTTATTTTGCATACAGTCACCGATTTTTTCGGTTTTTAAAATTTTTTCTGATATCTTTTTTTACGTTCCATGTAGCTACTTTCAATGTCCGTTTCCGTTGCAATTTTTGTTATCGTTTTAATCCATCCATATTCCGAAGCGAATTATCGAAAGTTTTAACATATCTAAAGCGTTTTCCGAATGACCAGTTGCTAGCACGTCGATTCAACCCTCATACTTGAAAGACCAGAATTTTTCTTCGGGGTTTTTTACCCTTGCTGACCTGTTCCAGTTTTTAGGCACCGGAAATCCGCTTTTGCCTTCTCTACTCAGCTGCATAACGCACACATCATTCAGACACTTCTTCTTCAGATGCAAATCCACTAATGGATGTTAGCGATCACATTTTCCATTAATTCTCTATTTCTTGCAATATGTATCAGAGATGTATGTCGTTAATCCCTGTCCATTGCCTTATGTTTTCGGAGCCAGGACATTTTCTTGCGTCCATTCCTCTCTTGCCTTCAATTTACTCTCGATTATAAGTTGGAGGAACTGGTATTTTCATTTCGCATGATGTGACCTAGATACGCCGTTTTCCTTTTCTTGATGGTTTCGAAAAGTTGGCGTTCTTGGTTTATTCTTTAAGGACATCTATATTTGTGATTTTCGCTGTCCATGGTATTTTTAGGATACGGTGATAGAGCCACATTTAGAAAGCTTCTAATCTGTTTATATCCCTCGTTTTGAGTGTCCAACCTCTACGCCATATAGCAGCACTGACTTAGTCGTAATAAAGGTAGAACGTAACCACTGTTGAGAATAGCAGCCAGTTTCATAAATTAAGTTAAATATTTTGTGTAGTGCTGAAATTCCCCTTTCATCCAGTAATTTGAGTATTTCTGACGGGATTTCATCTGGTCCAGGTGCCTTATTGTTTTTTTGAATTTAATATTGCCTTTTCTATCTCCTCTTTGGTGATTGAAGGGCCAGTCAGCTGGTCGTCTGTATAAACTTCACTCATGGGCCTTTCGTCATGGAAGAGCTCCTGGATATAATTTTCCCATATATCAATTTTCTCCTTTTCACCCAGCACTATCTGGTTATCCTGATTAACTATGGTAGTTGGTCTTCGTTTTCTGTATATTCCAGCAGTCTCCTTAAGCTTTTTATGTAAATTACGGTCGTCGTGCTGTCGTTGTAAATGTTCTAGATCGATACATTGTTGCTTAAGCCATTCATTTTTTGCTATTCGTATTTTTGCTTTTATTTGCCTGTTAATGTTTTCATACACATTGCTGCCATCTTGGTTATTCTTGTGTCTTCGTCGTTCTTCCATTAGTAATAGTATTTGTTCTGTCATCCAGTTTTTGCCTCTTGTTATTTCGTTTGTACCCTAAGTTGTTTTTCATGATGTCTGTTACAGCACTTGTAATCGTATTCCATGTTAGTGTTAGATCTTCGGCAATGTTTGTCGTCAATATTTGAATTTGTGCGTTTATTTCATTGCTTATTTCTGCTTGTATCATTGGGTCTTTCAGTTTGTCCAGTGCTATCTGTTGTTGAGTTTCAGGCTTGTTCTTGCATTCAGACACAGTCTTATGTTTGTCTTAGATCGTGTACAGTTGTTCTTTGTTTATAACTGTAAATTCTAAATACTTAAATTGATCTGATCCTTTGATTTGTTTTTCGTCTATCTCCAATTCCATTTATTTCTGTTCCTTTTATTGTATACTCCTATCATGTGGTCGTCTTTATCTTGTGTGCTAAATATGTGATCGTCAACGAATCTTGAGACATATAGGTATTCAACTGATGAATACCTGAACCCATTATTTTACATTTTAGGAATATTTTGAGTAAAATGGGGGTGTAGGGTAGCTTTTTGTCATATTATTTGAGTTGTATATTTCATTACTGATTTTAATTGTGCATCTAGTTATAATTTTAGACTGATTTCACTTCATTTAGTTTTTGTGGAAATCCGATATAGTTCTCTGTTTCCTTTAGCTTAGTCCTAGATATAGAGTCATATATAATTCTAAATGGACTTGTCCATTTTGTTATTTTTTTCTATGGGTTTTCTATGATTTATGATTTCCCTACTGTAGCGTGGCCATAGATAATATTACACTGATTTCCTAATAGTTTATTGGAGTTTATTTAACTTGGAATATGAGCCGTAAGATGTCTCTCTTTATTCTTTTTAATACGTCAATGTCAGTGATCCATGCTTCAGATCTTCAGAATCCTTCTGTTCCTATCCCTTCAGGATGTAAAAAATCTACAAAAAACACAAAAATGGCTTCAGTGAATGAAAAATCTCAAGCCACAACAAAATAGTAACACAACCCAAAAAACAGGTAAGAGGGGCTTACACCCTTGAGCGCCGAGTCACAGAATTGGGCCTAGAACGGAGCTCAGCGCTGGAGCAAGCAATACAGTTCGATGATAGGTCACTAGAGATAGCGGGACTCAAGCACCTCACACTGTCTTGCATAGTTGGGGGTACGTTATCATGCGGGAGTCATTGTACCCAGGGCTTCCAAGTGACAACCATTCTGTGATTTGAAGCCTCTATAGGCTACCGGGAGTGGAAGATGGTCTGGAGCATTGGGCGAGGTGAGGCGTTTCTGATTACACGAGCTAATACCCCTTGCTTCAATCAATTGTAGCGACCATCTTGCTTGTGTTCCGGATGTTGGCGATCACGATAGATATCCTTAGTTTACTGCAGTAGCGCACCTAGAATTTTCCTTTGGGGGGGGGACATTTTTTATGTTTATTTGAGTCCTAAATTTGTAAGTAATATGTCGAATAGTGCCCTTGGGGGGGGGGGTGAGGTTAACTGGGTGCACACTGGTTTACTGGCAGTTATTCGGAATAATTCAGTTGTCGACTTGTTCAAAGTTGACTATTCGTTTATAAAACTGATTTCAATATGGAACCCTGCATCTTATTCGTTAACTAACATCATTGCTACATTATTAAATGAATCAAGAATTATATTTGTATATTGTTTTAGACATAAAATTTTATCTTCTCAAATGTGGGGCGATTGCCACTCCATACAAGATGCAGTATCCTTAAGTATGGAACCTACGAAACCAAAATTTTGGATCTTGGACAAGGGAAATGAATTCTGTAGCCCAAAAATCTTATCATATAATCTCGTTTTTAATCACGTGTCGGACAGAACTGAGCTCGTTACAATCGATGGCAGTAATTTGAATGTAATGGTTATAGATTACTCAAGAGAAGAAGATGGCGGGTTTAGAGCATATATTGGACATGCAGGTAATATAATTGTTGTTACGATAGAAGTTATGTTAAAATAGCATTAATTCATGTTTAACTAATATTTAGATCCAGTTTTTCTATATTTCTTGTATATTAAAGGAAAATAAAGTCAATATATAACTTAATTATACCACTATAGGCAGGGGAGGCCAACCCGTCGATCGCGATTGACTATACTTTGTCTTAAAGTGACTAGTCTGTACAAGGAAGATATGCAATGCTTACCTTATGGGAATTTCGCCAAGACGTTAGCAATTTTATGCAGTGAGGGATGGCGTTCTCTATTGTCTATCTTTCAAAATAAACGGAATAAACCAGGATCGTTTGCTAATAATTTTACATAATACTATACATTATTTGTTTCCAATAGTAACTTATCAACTTTTATCTTTTATTAGTAGCAGTAGTATAATAAAATGTGCATTAAATAAACATTTGTTTCAAAGTTTTTCAAATACTTTCTTCTAAGTTATTCAGTAATTAAGAAGCAATTAAGATGAATAATATTAATTATTATTTTAATCAGAATAACAACGATTCAATATCGAGACGAGTAGGAATGGGATGGGCAGCGTTCGGCAAACTTTCTTACGTTTTAGAAAATCAAACAATCCCTCTATACTTACGGAGCAAGGTATATAACTCCTGCATAATACCGGTGCTCACCTACGGAGCACAGACATGGACATTTACACAGGTCAATTTGGATAGGATAAGGAAGGCACAAAGAGCGATGGAGAGACAAATGTTGGGTGTATCACTTAGAGATAGAAAACGTAATCAGTGGATCAGAACCAGAACAAAGACAGTAGACGCGATAGAACAAGCAGCAAAACTGAAATGGAAACGGGCTGGACACAATGAACGTCTCCAAGACGGACGATGGAACAATGCCATCGGAAAGTGGCGTCCATACAATGCAAAGAGATCAAGAGGCAGACCACAGATGAGGTGGAAAGATGACATCAGGAAACCAGGAGGTCCCACATGGCAGAGAACAGCTCAAGATAGGGAAAGATGAAGAGAACTGGGGGAGACCTATATCCAACAATGGAAGGATAGAGAATAGGTTCAAAAAAAAAACGATTCTCAGTAATTAGGAAACGATCAAGTGTAATTAGGAAAGTGTCAGAAATGAGGTGAGTGGTGTTTGTGAAAAGACTTTGTTTCGAATACGATTACAATCTCCAAAGAACAGGCCTAAGAAGCGAAAGGTTGGAAATTCTCGTGACGACAAGTACCATGAAGGTGTCAGGGGCCAAATTCGTAGAATAGTTCATCAATTTCTTCGTGACAATATACCACCAACAATAAACACCATATAAGCTGTTGTAAATGTCGAAGAAACTTTGCTCAACTTTTCAAGGGTCACGCTACATCGCTTGCTGGGTGATATGGATTTTGTGTTTATAAAACGTGGCAGAAATTCAATTTTGATTGAAAAACCAGAAATCATCTCGTGGCGTCATCGTTATTTACGCGCAATTCGTAAATACCGTGCAGAAGGATACAAAATAGTGTATTTGGATGAATCATGGGTAAATATCGGGCACAGTGTAAAAAAAGAATGGGTTGATAAAAGAATTACATCTCATTGCGATGCTTTTGTTCGTGGTCTGACAACAGGATTAAAAGCTCCAACAGCTTGTGGTGCACGGTTCGTTTTATTGCACGCAAGATCTACCAGTGGATTTGTTGATGGAGCAGAGCTCACGTTTTTGGCAAAGAAAATACTCAGGAATACCACGACGAAATGTTATAGTGATATATCAGAACAATGTTATTTTTTACGGCAAAACTCAAATTTACTGATAGATAAAACAGGATCATCTTCCTAACAGATTTATATTGTGGTGGTGCATAAGACAGACGGTTGTCCTTGACAAGTGTGTACCTGTTTGTCTATTTATGGACCGACCTCCGACGAGGTATCGGACTACCAAGCGTGTTCGATTGTTAAATGTCGGATTATCGCGTGTATACAGTATTTGGGATCAATTTCACATTAATCATTGATTAATTTTTTTTAATTGTTTGTTTTTATTACAACATAAATAAATAATATCTTATATGTAAAAAACGTTTTAAACTTTTTAGAAGAAAATGTGATACTTGTATTTTCTTTGGAAAACTTGGTTTGGTGGAAAATCCATTTGCTTGGAAGTAGCTCATCGGCTTTTCCAGTCAGAGCAGATTATTTAGCGATATCTAAAGTTACCCCAGAGTTATTTATAACAGCTAAGAATTCACTGAACGTATTCAGTATCAATTTAATACAATTAAGAAACCTGAAAGAGCCTCACATAGTTGATTCGCAGGTAAGTGACTTATTTCGATTGAGGTTTTGATTATACATATAAATAATGTTACCTAAAAATAATGTTAACGTGTTTTCAGGACAAGTCACTTATTTTTAACGCTACAATGCTCGGTGAAAAGCTCGGAACCTCTACAGGCATAGAATCTGATTTTGCGTCAGGTTTAATTTATTTTATGGTTAAAGATTATGCTATTGTTAGATGGAATATTGGTAAGTTGTGCTATAAAGGTTTATATCAAAAACGAATACATAAACTCATAACCCCACATATACAGAGTGGTCCATTCATGCTATTTTTTCTGTGCTAAATGAGATTTACCAACCTCTAAACAATAATCTTTACACTGCCACTGTTTTTTGTGACCATGCCAAAGCTTTCGTGTACGATATATTGATATAAAAACTAAATTTCTACAGAATTTGAGGTATTTCTTTAAATTGGTTCCAATTTTACTTGAGGAATAGGAAACCACTGGTTAGAGCAAAATATACTGATCTAGCCACAAAAGTATTGTATGTGGAGTGCCACAAGGTTCAGTATCGGAACCTCTACTTTTTATTTTCTTTATAAATGATATTAATATATTTAAAAATCGATGGAAAAATATTTCCTTCTGCCTTGGAGCAACTCTAATTTTGCAACTCTTCATGCAATTATAACTTCTGATCTACTTACAATAGAAACCTAGTCCCACTCCAGTTTATATTTTTTAACGTACTAAGACAATATTATTATCCTATAAAGGAGCTCTGTAACCCTTACTTGTTAGAACCAGAAAGATAAGTATCGTTGAGTTTGTAAAATTTCTTGGTATTTTTATAGACAGCAACCTTAAATGGTCTCTTCATATTGATTTATTAAGAAAAAAACTAGCCTCAGCCTGCTATGCAATAAGATCAAGCAAATGTCAAGGTTGAGGGCAGACTAACAGAAGAAATTCAAATCCGTCAAGGAGTCCGGCAGGGATGTATCTTATCGCCACTTTTATTTAATCTGTATAGTGAAGCTATCTGTGAACAAGCACTCGAGGAAGAAGATCTTGGTCTGATAATAAATGGTGAGACGATCAACAATATAAGGTATGCTGACGATACAGTTCTCCTAACGGGAACGCTAGTAGAACTACAACATCTCGTTCAAAGTCTCAATATATACTGTAACAGTTACGGCTTGAAAATTAATTTGAAAAAAACTAAATTTATGGTAATCACGAAATCAAAGAACATCAGAGCTAATCTTGTAATAGACAATACAACGATTGAGCGTGTGCTCTGTTATAAAATATCTAGGTGCTTGGATCACAGACGATACTGATCAAACAAAAGAGATTGATGTAGAATAGAATCTCTAGATCAGTCTTTAATAGAATGCGCAAACTCTTTTGCAATCGTGATATCAATATAAAGTTACGAATACGAATGCTGCGGTGATATGTCTTTTCTACCCTGTTATATGGAGTTGAGGCTTGGACACTAAAACAGTTGACCATAAAAAACATCGAAGCTTTCGAGATGTGGTGCTAGAGGCGCATTCTCAGAATATCATGGATGGACCGCGTCACTAACACGCAAGTACTCCAAACTTTAGACAAAAGATGCGAAATTCTAAATGAGATAAAAACTAGAAAGATGGAATACTTGGGGCACATTGTGAGAGGTGAAAAGTACGAACTTTTAAGAAACATCATGCAGGGCAAAATTAAAGGCAAAAGAAGTGCGAGAAGAAGAAAAATATCGTGGCTTCGTAATCTACGTGAATGATTCGGGTGTAGTTCGATTGAACTTTTTAGGCGCGCTGCTAACAAAGTCGCAGTGGCCATGATGATTTCCAATCTCCGCTAGGAGTGGCACGAGAAGAAGAAGAAGGTTTTAATATGCAATTTGCAATTTATTTACATTTTTTAATAGATTGTTTATTTTATTATCTTTTATTTTGCGATATTGACGATTTATATAATTTCAATAAATTGTAGTTATTATTGTTATTTTCTGATTTTTTGTAATAAGCTTTGTCCACAAAACTGTACAATTTTCAGTGACAATAAAGTATATTTCAAATTTCTAATTTCTAAATCGTAAAAAAATTGAAAAAAGATTGAATATTTTATTTTACGACTAAAATTAAGACTTAATATTAAAAATTCTACAATTAACAAGAAATGTTATATAATTATAGGTATCCTATGGTAGCAGAACACCATGACATACTATCTCAATCGTACGAAACATTTCCGTACGTTTCAGGATTTTTTACTGATCCAGACGGTAGTATATGGGCTATTATAAATCCTGGAAGTCCCACGGAATGTGATGTAAATGATTACTCTTACTCTACCACTTCTTCTTCTTCTTCTACTGAATTAGGAGAGAGAGTCATAAGGATAAGTACATATAATGAGATAAATAAAGAAACGGAATTTGTAAAAATATTTACACGTTAAATAAATACATAAAAATGGTAGTAAGTTTTTTAGTTTTATTAATCCTAGCCTCCAGAAACAGAGTAATCCGTAACCAAATAGATTACATATTGGTCAACAAAAGATATCACAATGCAATCATCAGTGCAAAAACACTGACGACATCAATTCCGATCATAATCCTGTTGTTGCAAAAGTTCGCGCAAGATGGAAACTAATAAAGAAACAAAAACCTCAACACCAACTATTAGACATCCAATTATTGAAAAACGACACCATACATCAGACAGTAAATAAAGAATTAAACAAAAATTTAGGAAATATCGACCACAATAGAATTAGCGAGTACGATGACATAAACGTTCTGTGGAAAACTATTAAAGAACAAATGAACAATGTAACGGAAAAACATCTAAAAGTAACACCTAGAAATAACAAACAGGAATGGATGACAGAAGAGGTTTTACAATTAATGAACAAACGAAGAGAATCTAAAGGAAAAAATGACAAGGACGGAGAATACAAAAGACTAAATAGAATAATTCGAAAAAAAAAAAAATAACCGAAGCAAAAGAGAAATGGCTGGAAACAAAATGCGTTGAAATAGAAGAACTGCAACAAAGGCACGATTTTTTAAATTTACATAAAAAGGTAAAAGAGTTTACATCGACTACCAAGAGAACGACTTTTCACACCATGCTGAACACGGATGGACAAACTGCTAGAATCAACGGAAGATAAACTCAAAGAATGGGAAAACTATATTAAAATTCTTTTTCACGACATACGAGAAGAACCAAGATTGGAAAATAACAACGAAGGGCCAACAATTCTGAAATCTGAAATCATAAATGCAATTAATCATCTCAAAACAAATAAAAGCCCAGGTCCAGACGGAATATACCCAGAAACGTTCAAATTAATCAGCGAAGAAAATATCGAATTATTTGTCCTTTTATTCAATCGCATTTATGATACAGGTAAAATACCCCAAGATTGACTGGAGTCAATATTCATCCCACTACCAAAAAAGCCAAACCCACAACACTGCAATGACTTTCGTCTGATAAGCCTTATGAGTCATGCAGTAAAAGTCCTACTAAAAATCGTAAATAATCGTATCCATAGAAAGTGCGAAACAATCATCGGAGACGATCAGTTTGGATTCAGAGCCGGCATGGGAACGAGAGAAGCCCTGTTCAGTTTACTAGTTCTCGCCCAAAAATGCTACGACCAACAGAAAGATATATTTATATGCTTTATAGACTTCGAAAAAGCATTTGATAGAGTAAGACACGACCTACTATTAGAACGTTTGCAAGAAGTCGGTTTAGATGGAAAAGACATCAAATTCTTAAAAAACTTATACTGGAACCAAAACGCCAGAGTTAGGATCGAAGGTTCCACATCCGCAGAAGTAGAAATTAGGAGGGGAGTTAGACAAGGATGTGTTCTGTCGCCTCTGCTGTTTAATCTTTACTCCGAGTTTCTATTTAAAGAAGCATTGGAGGATTCCAAGGATGGAGTCAAGGTGAATGGCGTAAATATCAACAGTATCAGATACGCCGATGATACAGTGTTAATTGGATTCCGACTTAGGTCTACAACGACTCATCGACAAGACCAACTCGACCTGTGAGCAATTTGGTATGAAAATAAACCATTAAAAAAACCAAAGTGATGTCAATCCGAAAAAACCAAAACGTACCTCAACCTTGCACAATAAATGGGCACATCTTAGAACAGGTCAATAGATTTAAGTACCTGGGATGTTGGATCGATAGCAGCCTAAATCCTGATCTAAAAATAAGATCGAGAATAGAACAGGCCAGAAAATCTTTCGAAAAAATAAAAAAACTGCTTTGTGATTCTCGAATAAAACTCGAAATTCGACTACGTTTATCAAAATGCTACGTCTGGTCGACTCTTCTATATGCAGTTGAAACGTGGACCCTTAAAACATCAACCGTAAATAAATTGGAAGGCCTTTGAAATGTGGATCTACCGGAGAATACTCAAAATTTCATGGACATCGCATACCTCAAACGAAGAAGTGCTGCATAGAATAGGCAAGGAAAGAGAACTTTTTAACACAGTAAAAGTTAGAAAAACATCATACCTAGGCCACATACTGAGAAATAATAAGTACCAATATGCCCAACTTATAGTGAAAGGAAAAATCGAGGGAAAGAGAGGCCTAGGAAGGAAAAGACTATCGTGGCTCAGAAACATCCGACAATGGACAGGGCTAAATTTTGAACAGCTAATAAGAACAGCTGAAGATAGAGAAGAGTTTAAAATTGTAGTAGCCAACCTCCATTGAGGAGAGGGCACTTTAAGAAGAAGCCTCCTAGACCACATATAAACACTGGAACAACTGTTGAAAAAAAAAACATAAAAAATAGAGACATTTGTGAACCTGAGAAAGACGTATGACTCTGTACCAAGGTCAGAACTATGGGAGCCAATGTACAAATTATAAATACAGACGGAACTCATAGAAGCTATAAAAGCTCTGTTTAAAGAAAATAACGTGTCCATCAAAATGGGAACAAGAGTCTTCACCACAACAAAAGGGCTCCTTATCTCCAACCCTATTTAAAATATACTTAGAAAAAGCCTTGACTACGTGGAAAAGAAAATGCAAAGGCTTGGAAGTACCAGTACTAAACTAAAACCTATATACGCAGGCCTATACCTAATCTTTGCAGACAATCAAGTAGTGATTGCACAAGACCAAAAAGACCTGAGTTACATGATGAAGAAACTAAAAGAAGAATATACCAAGGCTGGACTAGATATTAACCTTGCGAAAACAGAGTACCTATGAACAAGTGAAAAATACATAGAAGATCTACATATTGACGACAACGTAGCAATCAAAGGAAACGATAAATTCAAATACTTGGGGTTTATAATCACGGAAAAGGCAACAACAGAGGAAGAAATTAAGCAAAGATTAGGACAAACAAGAACAGCAATCCGACAACTTAACTCAGTATGGTGGGATAGACACCTAAATATGAAGACAAAAACACAGATTTATAAAACATTAGTGTGAAGTATTATGACATATGGGACTGAAAATTTGATAATAAACAAGAAAAACAGCAGTAAGATAGTAGCAACAGAAATGGAATACCTGCGAAGATGCTACAGAGTAACAAGAATGAATAGAAGTAATGACGAAATAAAGCAAAGAACATCAATAGAAACAGACACACTAACATATATAGAACAAAAAAGACTGAATGGTATGAGAGGAGGAACTAAGAGAGGAGACTAAGATTCTGGAGGAACGAAGTAGACGACGTCATGGGTAAGAGATGTCTAAACGATGGAGAATGTGACAACAGAGAGAGATGGAAACAGTTGAACGAGGAAAGGCAGTGAATACTGTAGAATCCCTAAACACATAAGAAGTTGATTAAAGCTATCATTATTTCTTTGCAGTTCTTCTATTTTTATAAATTTATTGGCGTAAAACAATTCATTTACCATTCTTATTTGCGTTCGATGATCTTTAAAACGAATTAATATTAATTAATAGAATTAATAAAGAAATACTAATAACACTACCATTAGTAGTAAAGATAAGATATTTGTAAATAAAACTGTTTTAAGTAACAATTGATGCTCATAAAAAGTTTATTGAATTATTTTCTGAATTTTATTCTAACGGCATGCCATTTGAAACGGCAAGGTTCGTGATAATGGCGTATATTTTCTCCCTACTTAAACAAAATACATAATTATCATCTTGAACTGACCGCCCTATATATTTATTATTAAAAGTGTTTTCTCCTGTCTGCTAATATCATGTCATTATCTTTATTTTTCTAATTTAGTTTCTTTTATAAAAGAGATTTAGAATCTAATATAGGACATTAAGTAAAATATTTTCGTAAGTAAAGGAACAAAATGACAGGGTCCCTTTCAATTTATTATAGACGAAAAGGTATGAACCTATTTAGAAGAAAATCTGGTTATAGCTTCTATGTAGTGTTATTGTTACTGAACCATGTCGTGTATGGAGAATTTCTAAAACTAAATTATATAAGTATGAATAAAACTTTAAGTGTTTTAACGAATGAAAAGTTGGAAAAAAACATTTTTGGTTGAATTTAGTATAATAATACGATCAGTGAGATTAGAATACCACAATCAAGATGACTATTTAAACATAGAACTACATATACAAGGTGTTATAAGAGTTAAAGTTTGTATAGTAAGTTTAAAACAATGTGTTCAGCTTTCAGTAAGAAGACAATTATTTAATTGGATTATTATCTTTTCAAATCAGCGTTCGCCTGGCACTGTACCTGTACGCATCTCATGAATATAATTACGTAAGTTTATTATTATTATTTTTATTAATCGATTTTTTTATTTATTGCACTGTACTAATCAGTTGTTCAGTATATATATTTAGGGATTCTACAGTATTCACTGCCTTCTTACTTACTTATGGTGTCGTCTACTTCGTTCGTTTCATACTGCTATCCCCTTCGTCTTCATCACGTGCCATCTCCTCTAAGAAGGTTGGCAACCATCATGGCAATTCGCACTTTCGACGCCGCTGCTCTAAAGAGATCAGCAGAAGTGTAGTTAAACCAAGCTCTCAAATTATTCAACCAGGTGATGCGTCTTCTTCCGCGACTCCTTCTACCCTGTATTCCTCCTTGTTCTATTAATTGCAACGTTAACGTAAAGTTATAACGCTCACCCCTCATAACATGTCCCAGATATTGCAGTTTTCTGACGTTAACTGTATTTAAGGCCTCTTTATCTTTTCCCATTCTTCTCAACACCTCGACGTTCGTGACTCTATCTATCCAACTTATTCTTAATATCCCATAACTCGAAGGCTTCCAATCTGTCCGAAACATCTTTCTTTAAAGTCCAAGCCTCCAACCCATAAAATAATACGGAGAACACATAGCATCTCAGAAGTCTTATCTTTAAAAAATTGAAATGTCCCTGCTGCAAAGTACTTTTTTCATTTTGTTGAAAGAATTTTTTGCCTGTCCTATTCTTGCCTTAATCTCTTTTGTGTACTCATTATTTTCATTAATTATTGTACCCAGATATTCATATTTTTCAACGTTTTTAATTTGTTCTACATGTATTGTTATGTTTTCTTGGCGCTGTTGGGCTTTTGTAATTACCATAAATTGTGTCTTTTTTGTGTTTAGGGATAGTCCGTTTTCTTCACTGACTTCTACCATTCTGTCAACCATTTGTTGTAAATCCTTAAGACATTCCGCTAATACAATAGTGTCGTCGGCAAACCGTATATTATTGATTGGTCGGCCATTTACTTTTATTCCCATAGTCAGTTCTTCTAGTGCTTCCTGGATTATTTCCTCTGAATACAAATTAAACAAAGTAGAAGACAACACAGCCCTGCCTGATGCCCCTCTCAATCTGTATTTCATTTGAAAAGACGTTTTTTTCACTTCTTACTTTGCAACTTCTCTGACATATCATCGAACTCCTTATCTGAGATGTTTCCGCTGAGGTATACCTTGTTTTTGGAATTGGCAATAGTTCTAGAAATATTTTGTGCTGCCCTGATTTTCCTTAGTTTTAAAAATCCTGGATTTCTTCCAATGGCTTCCCCTAACATTTTAGCGGCTTCAGCTTCTCCCTCAGCTTGCGCTATCTTCTACTGTCACTCCTGTTTGGATTTTTCCACTACAAAAGCAGCCCTCTGTGCTTCTTGTTGAGCGACCTACTTGGATTCTACAGCCGCTGTAAATGATAAATCTGTGATGGATACATCATCAAGAATGATGTTGAAGTCTTGAGCTCTTTCTACTAATTCTCTTCTAACCAATAAGGAAACCTGTTGTCTTTGGGTGATCAACTGAGCAGCATTGAATTTGGCCACTACAGACTTTAAGACTTCATTACAAATTGATGGAAGGACTTTTTCATCATAATCTAAACCCAGTTGTCTGTAAATTACTGGCAAAGAAGAAGCTAAGGGTCGAGACAAAACACGAAGGGAAATATTTACCATTTGAAGATCTTTAGATCCTGTGGGGGAAGAGATTTTTCTTAGTCTTGATCTAATATCATAAATGATAGGATACTGGAACCATGGAATTCTGAAATGCAAACCTTCAGTATATATTTCTTTTTGGACACCACCTATTCTGTTGAACATAATTGCTTTGTGACCTCCCTCAACTGTGTATATTGATTGAAAAATTCCATAGGCAGCGGCACCACCAACAGCTAACAATTTTAATCCAATGCCAAGACCAGGAAGACCTCCCTTTCCAAATTTACCAGCTAGATCATTAAATTTGTTTTGGGCCATATCTAATTATATTTAAATCAAGCAAAAGTAATTTTAATGAAAAGCATGCGGTATAACTGCTACTGCCGAAAATGTTTATTCATATGACATGTGAATATAAAAGTCTGTAGTTGTCAAATTCAATGCTGCTCAGTTGATCACCCAAAGACAACAGGTGTCCTTATTGGTTAGAAGAGAATTAGTAGAAAGAGCTCGAGACTTCAACATCATTCTTGATGATGTATTCACCACAGATTTATCATTTGGAAAAGACTATACAGCAGCTGTAGAATCCAAGCAGATAGCTCAACAAGAAGCACAGAGGGCTGGTTTTGTAGTGGAAAAAGCCAAACAGGAGAGACAGCAGAAGATAGTGCAAGCTGAGGAAGAAGCTGAAGCTGCTAAGATGTTAGGGGAAGCCATTGGAAGAAATCCAGGATTTTTAAAACTAAGGAAAATCAGGGCAGCACAAAATATTTCTAGAACTATTGTTAATTCCCAAAACAAGGTATACCTCAGCGGAAACAGTTTGATGTTAAACATCTCAGATAAGGAGTTCGATGATATGTCAGAGAAGTTGCAAAGTAAGAAGTGAATAAAACCGTTATAAAATATCAAATCAATTGCAGAGGAATCTACATAATGAAAAGACGTTGTTCTCTTTTACCACAGCGATCTGATTATAATAGATAGCGCTAATGATCCTGATGTCTCTCATATCTAAGTTTTTCTTTTCAAGTAATTCGACAAGACGGTTATGTCTGACCTTATCGAAGGCTTTGTTGTAATCCAAGAAACACACATATACTGGCTGATTGACATCCATGCACCTTTGCACATGTACGTTCACAGCGAACAGGGCTTCCCTCGTTCCCAGTGCATTTCTAAATCCAAATTGTGTGTCACTGATGTCCTGCTCAAGTTTGTTGTGTATTCTCCAGTGTATAATTCTTAAAAGAAATTTGAGCGTATGACTCATTAAACTTATTATCCGGTGGTCTTGGCATTCTTTTGCATTTGGTTTTTTTGGTAGTGTTATGAATGTTGATATCAGCCAATCTCTGGGAATGATTCCTGTGGTACTCCCATGCCTTCGCATTTTCTTTTCCATGTAGTCAATGCTTTCTTTAAGTATATTTTAAATAGGGTTGGAGATGTGGAACAACCTGCAAGAGCCGTTTTGTTGTGGTGAAGCCTCCTATGATTCTTGTTTCTGAGCCTTTCTCAGGTCCACAAATGCCAAATGCATATCTCTATTTTTTGCTTTTTTCTTTTTCAACAGTTGTTCCAGTGTGTATATGTGGTCTATGAATGACCTTCCTGCCGTGAAGCCTGCCTAATCCTCCCCGATTTTGCCTTTTATTGCTTCCTCTATCTTTTCTCGCAGTATATTCCCATATAATCTTTCTATTGATAATATTACGCATATTTCTCTGTAGTTTTCGCATCGTTTTCTATATCCTTTCTTAAATATAGATGCCATATATGCCTCCGTTCATTCCTTTGGGAGCTATTCTCCATTTATGGCTTTCTGAAATATTCATTTTATCATACCGTGTAATTTTTCAAGCCTTCTTTATACGCTCAGGTAAGATGCCTCCAGATCCCGGTACTTTCTTATTTTTGATTGCTTTTATGGCCGTTTTCATTCCCCTATCTGTTATTTCTATTTCTTGTTGTGGGGATCTGCTTCGTCTTCGCCTGTTTTCTTTTCCAATGAATTGTATTCTTTGTTCCGTTAACAGTTCCTTGACATAGTCCTCCCATTCTTTGTAAATTTCGTTAATTATTATTGATCGTTGACATTGATTAAAATTTCGTTATTTTGCTAACCAAGATTATTAATACTTTTCTCAAAACTTATGTATACCATACGTTATTATCATAAGCAATAATCTATTATTATATACTTAAATTTGTTTTTAGGTTGTAAGAAAAAAATGTATTGGATTCATTTATTAGACTTCATAAGTGGAAGCAAATCTAAACAGGAAGGATGTTTTTATTTTCTGATGTACAATTGTTTAATAATAAATAGTAGTTCATGGAAAATCGTCTTTGAATTTTGTTACTATTAATATAATAAACCTGTTTTTAAATGCTATATCTAAAATTTTAATTCTGGTAACACTTCAATTTCATCTAAAATTTGGACTCTCAAAATCATCATTTAAACAAATCGTTGCAATGCCAGCCAATCGATCGAATAGAACAGAACAACTTAGAACGAGATCCTACAGCATACACAAAGAATAATACGAGGAAAATAACAATACCGTACATAAAAGGATTATCAGAAAAACTTATAAGGATAGGAGATAAATTCAACATTTCAACAACATTCAAAACAACAAACACGTTGAGATCTATTTTGTCCAAAACCAAACCTAACAATGAACAAGAAAGGACAAAGAATTGCATTTATAAATTACCTTGTGAATGCGATCAGTTTTATTTAGGTGAAACATCAAGGCCATTAAATGTTAGAATAAGTGAACATCAATCTTATATTAAAAATAGAGAATTTGATAGATCTCAAATATGTAAACACGCGTGGGATAATGAACATAGGGTTCAATGGAATAATTCAAATGTAGTCCTAACGGATGGTAAAAAAAGAAAAATCAAAGAAGCGACTCTAATTATGTTAAATAAGGCCAATTGTGTCGCAAATTCCTCGGCAGAATGTAGTAGGATCTGGTTACCAATATTGAAAGAGGAAGTTATTAATAAGAAAATACCAGTATTAGTAAGTCAGTAACATATAGAGGATACATCATTTATGTTTTTTAAATGACGAAACATAAAAATCAGAATTTTGGTGTTTATTGAAGGTAAACTAAATGCACGAACAAATACTTACCATGTCGGGATAGTATTATGAGGTTTTTTTTCCTGTTTTTTCCCTCATAATTTAGTATGGAATCACTAACAGTAGAATTTTACTGTCATCATGTCATGTGTTTGTCTTTTTAAAGACGAATTACATGCTATGATTTTTTTCTGACGGATATTCTCAAGTTAAAGTTGATTTCATGTAATCGAATGAACTATCTTATAAGTAAAGTCGTCCCAGGAGCGCAACTCAACAATATTGGCAATATCATTTTAAAGTCGTCTACTTTAAAATGCATAATGTATGTCTGAATTTGTCAATATAAATGAGTCAGATAAAATTAAATTATTAGAAGAATTTTTCACTATGTAACAAAAAACAAAATTTGTTTAATTTACTGTTTGTATTTTGAGAACGATTTCCGAAGTGGAAATTGAAACGTCAATAAACGTATTTTTATCTTTAATTGTGGCTTATTTCCAGTTAAATAGTAATTAAGTTATATATGTATTATACAATTATTTATATTTAAACACGCCCGCGCCACTTCAACGTTGTTACATGAAATTGTAATAAACGATTAGTATTTGCCCAAACCGCAAATCCACAAAGACAATTGTTTGCGGTCTAATGATTCGCGAGTGGTTTTCCTTAAAATAAAAAGAGAATAATACTTCCTTAATGATACGAGAACAGGCATCGTCAAAAAAAAAAAAAAGAATTTATAAACCACATAAACCATATTTAACAAGAAAATTGTATAGAAAAGCTATACTTTTACCAAGACGGCTAACAAGATTTCCGGCTGAACTACAGAAACAACGACGATCACTACAATGTAAATCAATTTAGAAATGCTCTGTGGGGTACATTCAACTATTTTCTACCATTTGCGGATTTCCAATCGACTTTTTTGCGTCGATAGTCGTGCACTGATAAAAACCGCATTAATAGTTGTTATTCGAGTTATTAAAATTAATTGTAAACATGCAACAATGCTTAACATTATAATATTTTAAAATTATTTATATTTGTTTAGCATGTGCACTTAAAAATGTTAAACTAAAACAAAAATTGTTGAGACATTAAAAAAAAATAAGACAAAAAATAAGAAATAGGTCAAATATCTATTACTATAGTAGAAGCCACAGCTAGAAGACAGTGTTGTTCTTAGGCTACGCAGCGATGAGGCTCATGTCGGCACAGTGGTAGGTGTGTGGTAGTTTGGCGATAAACTGAGAAATCAGGACTTATTTATTAATTTAACTGTGTTAAATAAGAGAATAAACAAGAAAAAACCAAATTAATTCTATAAAAAATTCTAGAATGCATAAAATATCTACCTCATAAATACTTATATACATATATACATAAAAAACGCAAGTAGTTTACCCTATATGACACGATAAATGTATTTATGTACATAAAATGCACAAGAAGATCATAACTGAAGTGTACTGTAGGTATAGGTTATTCCACGAATATACGACTGTTTTGGATTATTGCGAAATCGAATATTTTACTGTGCAAGTAGAAGTTTGAAAGTAAATTGGTCTAAACAGTATTCCAATAAAATGGATCTCCTGTTAGTTTGACACTTAAATAAAATTATTTCAGTTAATAGATGTTCAGATAGACGCAAAATTTATTGTGAAATTTAATCCGAAAATAACAAACATTTTTACGTAAACGGTCCTACAAATGACAATACAATAACGTCTATAAAGCCAAAATGTGTTCATAAGACATTTGGGTTGGGTTTCCGTAAAATGTAAATACCAAAGAGGCGTGCCAAGTTTCTTTGATATTACACTATTTTATTACTTTATTAGGTACTGCAACTGTAATAAAAGAAATATACTATTTTTAATAAAAATGAAAAGAAATTGGCAGAACGATGGTTCAGAAACCAGAAACAGGATCTAATATTTCTCTTTGTTAGTTTTAAATATTTGTTTGCTTTGCGTGGATGTACTCTTAAAAGTTTCGAAAGTAACGGGTATAACACACCAACTATTAACAGTTAAAGTACCGAGTCGTTACAGATTAAAAAGTAACGAAAATTTACATACAGTTTCATATATCGCCGACTGATTTTAATTTTAAAAACCATCCGTATAGAGGTGTTCGGTGAAGAGAGGTGCCGTTAAGAGAGAGTTTAGTATAGTGTATTTGTTTATTGAAGCCAAAAACGCCGAGACGTTTTTAGATATAGACAACTTTATATTTAATGTACTTTCTCATTGTAAAGTTCTGTAAATCTGGTGGTTGATGATAGTTTTATGAGGTTAGGAGAATTAGAGAATAAGTAAGTTTTTATTTGATTTTTTTATTACTAATTGAATATTCTACTAAATAAATTACACTATTTAATCACCTAAATATTGTTACACTTCGTTTAAATCACTTAATTCAAACACCAACTTGTTTACAATACTAAACTCTATGATAGTAATTATATACTTCAAAATCTGAATTACAACTGTTCTAATAAACTATCAATTTAGTGAGGTTTAAATCTGTCATAACAGTATTTTAAAAATGGGGAGAATTATTATTGTACAATTCAGTACATTGCACCATTTAAATCGATCATCATCATCATCATCCAGCCTCTATTTATCACGTCCACTGCTGGACATATGCCTCCCTTAAACTCCTCCATTCCTCACGATTTTGTGCTCTTTCGTGCATTCTCGCTACATGGCCTGACCAGTTCCCAGTTTAAATCGATACCTTAAACAAAATTTAAAACAGTC